GGAAGATGGGTGAAGACCATAGTGTTGATCAAGCCGATACGTTTAGCTAGTGGCCCGGCAAAGATCGCTCCAAAGGCGCAGAGAAACTGGGAAGCTGAAGTGATATCTCCAAGCGTGGACTTCGAAACGTGGAATTTTTGGTCGACGTAGTAGTTCATTAGCGAATAGGGTGTCATGCCGTCTGCTAAGCTGTCGACAGCCAGGAGAATCCAAAGCTTATACATGACAGATCGTGTAGTTTTTGAGATTTGGCTGAAGTAGCTCTGTTTCTTCTGTAGTGGTGGGCTCCTGATGTTTGCTGGTCGTCCTACATTCTCGCGGTCTTGATCGAATTCATCCGTTGTGCTTGGTGTCATGGCCTCTAGTAGTACTTCTTCCTCTTCACCACCATCACCACCGCCACCACGTCTTCGTTCTTTCATCTCCGCAGTCTTTTCACCAGCAGCTTCACATCTGCTACTGAGACCGAGACAAAGAATGCTTCCAAGCACCCCGAAGGCTGCATAGCCCCAAAAGAGAGCATGATATGCTTTAGTCACGTTGCCGCTGCTCTTCTCGAGAGCATGTACTGTTCTTCCTGCGACTTCCGCACCAACAGCTCCAGCCATGGTTGTCGCTGTGACATACCATGAGAGCACATCGCTCCTTGTTGTCTCATCTGTCAAGCCACTCAAAATGCTCTCCTCGACAGCCCTGAAAGGGCCACAGTCCGCACCAGTGACAGAGATGATGCCGAACACCGCCGCAACCAGAAGGACGAAGAAATTTTCCGACAGAGCAAATGCAACACCTGAACAAGCCATCATTACACTACCCATGAACAAAATCCTTCTCCTTCCGAGTTTATCCGCTACGAGAGTAAGCAGCAATGACAGCAGGACATCTCCCAACAAAGTCAATGTCATGAAGACCCCAATTCTTGAATCCGGAAACTTGAGCGAGGAGAAGAAAAGGGCAAGAATCAGCGACGGAATGCCTGCCGTGAACATTCTTAATGACCGTAGTGTAATAATAATGTATGCATCTCGTCCTGTTGCGTTGAGTGATGTAAATCCGAGAAAACCGGCGATTCGCGTTAAGGCTGCAGGAGCCATATTGGAAATGTGTGCTGCGTTCTGGGTTTGTACTCAAGGGTCTTGGAACAACGTTTGGTAACAGAACACAGAATCAGTATCAGTTTTAGTTTTACAGAGATCGGATAAAGAACGGTTGAAGAAGAACGGAAAAGCTCTCATCCTACAAAAGACTGATGACCACCCGCGTTGTTAGTGTGAGCGTTAAACCCGAGACGGCTTTAAGCTAAAAGGCTGCATCTTGCCTGACTCACGCCTGCACATGTGCGACGCCATCGAAGTACGTTCTAGATCGTTTTTGGATGATTGCTCAACGGCATCACTACCTACATTTGCTGCCGTTGTGCTCGTTCGGCGATGCTGCGCGGCCGAGTATCGCCCTGCGGTGAATGTGGGGTTCGGTTGCGTCATTGCTAGACTTTCGATGGTGCGTCGCGTGCCCCGAACAGCTTCATCACATACGCGACACTTTGGATCAACGGAGCACTCCCGGGACTTCCTACAGAGTCTTCAGGTACAGCGAAGTACTCACGCACCTTTTCCTTCTCAGCATGATGGACATCGACCCAAAACAAGATCTGTTCGTTCTATTGTTGATCTAAATTCTCGTTCTCTGGGTTCCGCAGTAACTTCTGATTTAGCCGCGTAACACATGTAAAATAAACGCAAATCAGGAAGCAATACGTGTAATCAACCGTGTTTTCAGAAAAGGGACGGGAAGAAACAGAAGCTGGAACGAAGACAGGATGCTTCCAGAAGAACTAACGCCCAACCAAGCCTACGTATCAGGCCATTGATGAAGCAAAATGTTTCTTTTCGCGAGGATTTAGATGCGATTCAATAACATGAATTCATACGCTCTTGATACTGTATCATCATTCACAAACATGGTATGAGGAAAGCATTTTTCCGAGTAGATGGTTGGCTCCATTGTACTATATGATAATCTCACAGCCTAGTCATAACACCACGAATCATGGCAGCGACAGCTAGGTACAAGTTAACACCAATAGCACCTAGAGAGAACAGGGTTTGAATGTGGCAACTACGCATCCATAACGTATGCAAACTTCTGCGTACCGTTGCACATGGAGTACGGGTACAAAGTGGTTTCGCGATCTGCTAGAAGATTGAGACCTGCGATGGCTGAACAGCGTTGGATGGTGGTTCTCAACGAGAGAAATCTTGGAAGTGATCTTTCGAGGAGTGAAAATTGTAATCTTACAGGATGTTCCCGCCCATGTGGTTAATCACCTTTCATGTTTCATCGGATAAAGGAGTTCTATACCAAATTGAATAAACAACTTGGAGAGACGCCCTGAAAGTGGAAACAGCGCTGCGCTGAAATGGAAAGAGGAAGAAGAAGGAAAAATTAGGCTTTCGCGAGACTAAGAACTTATTTAATGGACGTTATCGAGCCAAAGAGATGAGGGCATTCTAGGCCTGCCACATAGCCAGTCAAGAACTTCTTATCCAGACAAAGACTTGCCGGGGAAATAGACATTTTCGACGTTCGAAATATGAGAAGATACGTTACTTGAGCTCATAGTCCAAGAGTATTGAACAGGAGTATAGGTTTGGGATAGGCTCGTAAGACCTGGTGTGTAAACGGCTCAAAGCCAGGTGACAGAATTGCCAAAGCCGCCCCAAAAGATGTCAATATCGCAGACTTCCTCAACTGCAATGGAAACAGGAAGGTGAATGACCTCCACAGTCCTCAGGTGGCTTGATCGAAGTTATGCAGGCGGCCAACTGGCTTCGACTGGCGTGTTTGAAAGTAGGTCCATTTCAGCTGTCCAATGCACTCGGACGGGGAGACTAGCAACGGGAACTTAGTGAACATAGAAGAGAGTCTCTAGTACTTTACGGGCTTCCTGTCTATATCAAATAGGATAGCCGGTCTGAGTATCATGCACAGTGCTCAGCGATAAAGACGCTACCCCCCACTACCAGCCCATGGAATTTGAATGTGATGTGCGTGATGCCTTGATCGGAGGCGATGGCAAGCCCGGCTAGCGCTGAATAGTTGGCATTGAACTCGGGCTGTTGATTGTGGAAGGCGATGCTGCCGCCCGGGAGGCCGGAGAGAAAGATTGGCTTGGAAGAGAAGCCAGTTCAGCCGTCGCAAAGCTATCAAAAGACAGTCAACCATGTCCCATCAACGGATCGGATGGTTCCAGTGCCTGAGTAGCAGACATGTCTGTTGCGCAGGGTCAAGAGAAAGGAGAGGAGACCAGCAAGCCGGAATACTAGATTCTGCGTGGCGAGACGCATGGTGCCTTATATTTTATCATCGTCGCATGGTGCGCTGCGACACCATCAAGACGCTGCTAGCCTTGTGTCATCTGCTCCGGCTGCTCTGTGTGAAGGCCGACAATCACTATGTTGGTGGCGCAATATCACATCTTCGCCCTATCTGTTAACACAATAATGATGCAGTACAAATGCGTCCGGGCTGTACAAGAAATCGCTGTGATAAACTGAGCTTGATGCACAACATGGACTCTTCGGAAGAGTGCAAGATTGAGACTGTTTGTATAGACAGAGGGATCGCAGGCAACAGTCGATCATGGGTGTGGATGAGACGGAACTACAAAGAAGCAGTTCGTCACGGGTTTTGACAAACTGAGTGTGTAGACGTTGGAGGGTGTGGATGGAAGGCAGCGGCCTAGGTATCGATGTGTCAGCGGAGACCCCGTGATTCATGATGGGCGGCCAATCTTGGATGACGCCGAACTATCCACTCTCCGCCTACAATACACCCTCAAAGATGGAAAAAGAAAATCCAGCACCGTCACCACCCCTGCATCGCGAGTATCTTTTGGTGGCGCAGTGAAAGGACACTGACACTCGCCGCCGGCAAGAGCGCTCCCACGGAAATGTCAACAGTCGCACAGTCTTGGCTTGCATGGCATGGGCCGAGTTGGAGTAACCCTGCAGTAGGCATGGCAGTGGAACAGAGAGTTGGACCAGTCGTTCCTCGTGCATGCTTCGTCCCGCGGCATCCATGCCAAAGATTCGGGCCCGGATAATCGGAGGCGGCGGACCTATTGGTCTTTCATGCGCTGGGGTACAACTCACCCGCCGTCGCAGGTATGATGACACAAGGCTTCCTTTGACAGCAAAGAAACAGACGATGGTCGTGTCTTCGGTCTGCGAGGCCTGACAGGTGCAGTGAAGCTTATGCTTAGTCTGCGTGCTAAGCTGGCGGCGGCAGATTCAACAGGGCGGCCGAGGTCAGTCTGGTGAAAGAGCAAAAACTGGGGATCGTCGGTGTGAGCCTTTGCATAGCGGCCTTCAGGGTCTGGTCCCTGTTGCTACATGTGTGTGGCCATTTGTGAGGAGGATCCAGAATAATAGTGAGCCATAATCGTGCATGTGCTGGCGGTGAGAGCAGAGGGCCCTGAGCGCGAGCGATTTCATGTCTTATATCCGCCTGCTCCCCTCTGATGCTGTTCGTGTTCGTGTTCGTCTTCCTCCGCCCTTCGCCCTCTTCGACGTCCAGACCTTGCAAGCTTGTGTTGTGTGGTCGCGGCTAGCTGCACCGTTTTTCCACATCCTCGCCGTGCCGCATTCTCGTCGCAAAACGCCGTCCACCCTTCCCGACCAATCTCGCAGCAAAAGCCGGGGTCTCCCCTCTGGCCCGCAAGATCTGCAGGATAGCGCAGCAAAGAATAGGATCCAGCATCTTCTCCTTGCAAATCAGCGATTTTACAAATAGCATTCACGGGACTGACTTTGGAAATTCCCACGCGCAAGACAGCAGAGTCAGCTGTCAGGTACCCGGTGTGCACCACTCCGAAGAGCGTCTGATAACTAGTGGGAGAGCTAGGCGGCGTCAGAACGTGGGAACCTTGGAAACAGCGGTCACGCCCGAGGTCAGCACACACACTGGCCGACTCCTTAGTAAGGAGTAAGTTAGAGAGAGGTGCCGGGTGAGGCGGTCACATTCTGCGACAACCCACTTTCCGCTGTTCTTCCACGCTCGACCCTCAAACGCGCAATCTGCGGGCGACCACGACAGCACATCTACCCGCGCTTCCTCCCTCGCACCGCGGCATACTTCCCTACCAGCAAACCTCGCCTCTGCCACTGTAAAACTCAAAGAGCGCCAAATCACACAGCAGCAACCATGCACCGCAAAAACCCCATCAGCGTGCTTGTCTACAACACGCTCTTCCCAACGCCGTCCCCGACCGACCCACCCTCCTTCAGCGCCCATCTCTCCAAAAACCTTGTCGGCGAAGTTCGCATCGAAACAGCAAACTTCTACGGGTCGCTCGACACCATCGAAGCGCGGTACCCAGGCTTGAACTACGCTTTTCAGCCACATCGAAAACGTCTTGGACGCTTCCCACACCACAAGCGCCTCTTCGATGCTTTCGATCGGCTTGGCCTGACCGAAGCGGAGATTCAAGGCTTCTGCAGGTGGGAAGGCACCCTATGGGCACGGGAGCGATACGAGCGGGACGAGGGCGTAAGAGTAGTAGACACAACGGGCGTGGACATAGGGGCATGGGTCGACACACGACGAGCCTATTCCTCAAGGAACAACGGAGCGGGAATCAACGTGAAAACAGACATTGAAGTGGAGATTGAGGAACTAGAACACAACCACCACCATCACCACCATCATCATCACAGCCAGTCTACACGACCCATGCAACACAACAATGGAGGCGACACGGAAATGCCCGATTCTTCTTCTTCGGCCGAAGAAGATGAAGACGAAGAATCCGACTCGGATTCAACCTCCAACGAACTATCCTCCTCGGTAGGCTTCTCTCTGAACGCGCGTCTGCTCCACGCCGCTGCCCTGCGGGAGTCTTCCGGCGCAATGAACATACCAATGGACCCGGAATGGGAACAATACCTCAAAGAAGCATCCGAGCGCGGCGAGCTCAACATTGACGCGACACGAGAAGCTCTGCGCACCATGGCTGGCCAAATCGCGCAATTGCACCAGTCGACGGTTGAGGCCGAGAGCAGCGAGGCCGTGCCTCAGACGTTCCAGCCACCCGCTGCTCCAGCTTAGGAGCTGGAGTTGGGGCACAGCTGGATGATGGATGCAGAGGTGTTGGAAGCGGCTATCATTATGTTTACAAATGCTTTTTGATCGAGGAGATGATAACGACGATGATGATGGTGGCCTATCTTTCAGAATGATTGTTGTTGGGGGGCTTTTTTTTTTTAACTTGGTCGCTTTTCTCTCTTTCCTGCACTGCATGGCGTTTTCTCTCCAAGACAATGGCGTTCTGACGAGGGATTTGCGGGTTATGCATGGGCGATTCGCGAGATACCCCAGATTCTCTGCTGGGCCTTTTTGTTGTTGTTGTTCGGGTAATGATTCTTTCACCACTTACATAGATCAGCGAGCTTTGGATGAGCAACAAGGGGACGGGGTTCGGCATGCACGGCACATAGTCATAATCCATCACGTTTAGATGTTCAATCAGTTTCTTGTGGTATCTTTGGTGTCATTGTTATGTTCGTCGATTCTCACTATAGAAGTGATGGTTGTTTGGGTCCATGCGGTAGAGCTATCAAGTGCCTACTGATACTCCTGGCTGTTCTGCTGAGAACACTTCCCGCCTTAGCCGTGTGAGAGCTAATAAGGCCCCAGGACTGTGCTCTGCATGAAGTCCCTCAGTCCTCTGCAAGCATCATTTGTTATGGGCAAGGCAGCTTCCTGTACCGCTCAATCTTTGGAGGGGGGTAAGCTGTGATTACGAGGAGGTGATATGTTTGCAGCATATGTTGTAGTAGCGCGAGGTACTACATCCATTGTCGCCTTATCGCCTTCCCGAGTTGCCGAAGCTGAATCCTCCGGGTCCCCTCTTCGTGCCCCTGGTAGTTCTGCCGTTGCCACTGTCCTCGTCAATCTCCATGGCATCGTCGCCCCCCATACCCATTAGATTCCGCTTGCCATTATTCTTCTCGTCACTGGCCTGCATGACTGCCTCGAATGCTCGCTCCTTCTTCCGACGCATCTTTTCTCGGTCCAACGCCTCCTTCTTTACCTTGGCAACTTGTGCCTCCAGATCTGCTAACGCTGAATCGCAACGTTGTGACCACGATTGCAGGGTATTCTGAAGGGTGGGTAGTGACCCTGGTGCGAGGTCGCGGAGTGGTGAGATGGATGTGACAGAAACAAGCGAGTGTGCGGGGTCGAGTGTGGCGGTAATGAGGCCGGAGTAGATGGCAGTGGTAATGAGCTCCTCGAGAGCGCGTGTGGTAGGCAATTCAAGAGCTGTCATGAGGTGCTTGTAGGTAAGGGTGTTGTGGGAGTGTGAAAGCGGCAGTAGCGAGAGTAGCAGGAGCTTCTGGTGTTGCTGTGCTGAGAGTTTTGGGAGATTTGGATGAGCTTCACATGGTCAGCAACACGATGCAATGTTCAGGCGATTGCCAACATACCTTTGTAGTCCTCCCAAGTTCCCCAGGCGAAGATCTCGAGCAGAGTAAGAGACGAGGCGTACTCTTCCGAGCTCCGTAGCTTCTGGAGGTTGGGTGTCTGCAATAATTCGGCGAAGACATATGTGTTTGGCGCACTGGTGGCTTGCATGATCAAGTCCGATGCTGCTCGTGGAGAAGTTGCGGACTTGCTGAGAGCGAGAAAGGGCTCGAGAGCGTTGAGGGCCTTGGTTTGCTCCATGTTGAATCAGTGTAGACGTTACAGTATCTGCAGTGGTGGAGGTTGCAGAGTTAATCAACTCATCAGTGTATAACGGAGGACGAGCAGGCAACTACGCATGTGAGGTACGTCTCTTGGCAATCGCGGTCGGTCGCGACTGCCCCGCGCGACTGTCGACCCCACTCGCCTTCACGCTCGGACTTGGTTCCATCCAGCTCGTGCAATTCTTTGGAGCAACAATAACGCTTATTAGGTGCGTGTTTTCTTCTTGCAGTGGGCATCCAAGCTCGCAACCAACGCGTAAGAAGATGCCCTGCGGTCAGTGACACAGACCTTTTGCTCGTATCCGACACCGTCTGCTCCGCATACACGAGCTGGTTTTCTCACCACACATTCTCAGTCAATAGCGTACGCACTTACAGTTCCCAAACACACCAGGTCCGGCCCACTTGTGTTCGGTGACAGAGTGACTGTGCACCCTCAGACTGTGTGTAGACATGTCGCAATAGCACTTTGTTTCGTTCGGTTAAATCGATCCAGAACCTGAGGCTGCGCGTGTCTCACCTGAGCATCAAGCAAGGGTTTTACGTTCCTTCCTGTTTCACATGCCAAGAAGGAAACACTGTCGTCTTATGGCCGTGTCGCAGCAAAGACAGCCCCAGATCCTAGATTTCGAAAATAGTCTTAATCTTTTGCCTGTCAGCCTGCGGACATTGAGTGTGCCCTGCATTGCACCGCGCTTATACTCTGACAGCTTGACCTTCAGCTCGTGGCGGCCCTCTCGCAATCACGGCCTATCATCATCCTTCGGGCCCGCTCTAGCCTCCTTTCGACAAGCCGCGGCGCTGGGCTTTAATCAGCACTGGGACAGATTGTGGCTGCTGCACTCCGTTCATCAATCGCCATATTAATAACTTCGCCATCTGGCACTACCGGAAGCTGGCCTTCCTTTTTGTTCGCGAGTCCGCTGTCCTTTCGCGTCTGCAACCTCGCGCTGTCGCAGTACCGCCGCAGTCATTCCATCGCTTTCGCTCCGATCCTTCCGCCTCGTACGACCCGCCTTCGCCCCCAATTTGACCCGTCGAATGCTGCACCTGGTCCAGCATCGCAGTTTCCAGTTCGCAACACCGTCCGAAGTTGACAGCACCGAAAAGACACCCTAGCCAATATGGCTCCTCCGGCGACAGCGACCGCGCACATGGCTACAACAACGCTCAAGGTTGAAGGTATGACATGCGGCGCATGCACTTCTGCCATCGAGTCGGGTTTCCAGGGCGTCAAGGGAGTAGGGAATGTGTCGATAAGCTTAGTGATGGAGCGTGCTGTTATCCAGCACGATCCCGAGGTCATCACCGCGGAAGAAGTCAGGGAGATCATCGATGACAGGGGGTTCGATGCAGAAGTGCTCTCGTCGGATCTACCAATGTCGCATAGTGCAGATGATCATTTCCTGAGCGACTCCGAAGATGAAGAGGAGGAAATGAATGGAAACATTTCCACCACCACACTCTCGGTTGGTGGAATGACATGCGGAGCGTGTACATCCGCCGTGGAAGGCGCTTTCAAGGACGTAGCTGGACTCAAGTCTTTCAGCATATCACTTCTCTCCGAGCGCGCTGTCATCGAACACGACACTACAATTATAACCCCGGAGAAGCTGGCCGAAACGATAGAAGATGTTGGCTTTGACGCGCAGGTGCTGGATACCGTGGCCGCGACACCAGCACCGAGGAAGAGCAAGGGTCGGAAACAGCAGAAAACAATGACGACGACTGTCGCTGTTGAGGGCATGACATGTGGCGCATGCACATCAGCCATTGAGAGCGGGTTCAAGGACGTTGAGGGTGTATACCAGTTCAACATTAGTTTGCTCGCCAATCGTGCCGTGATCGTCCACGATCCCTCCAAGCTCACCGAGGAGCAGTTGGTAGAGATCATCGAGGACCGAGGATTCGACGCCAATGTCTTGTCGTCCGTCGACAGTAGTATACAGCAGTCATCAGCAGCCAACGTACCTGTACAACTCAAGATCTATGGAATGCCCAACTCTAGCGCTGCTCAAGAACTCGAAGGATTGTTGCGAAAACGATCTGGAATTACCTCCGCAACCATCAACTTCGGAACTTCAAGGGCCACTATTCAACGTGAGCCTCAAATCATTGGTCTGCGAGCCATCGTGGAGGCTGTAGAAGCAGCTGGATACAACGCGCTTGTCGCGGACTCTGAAGACAATGATGCCCAACTGGAGTCTCTGGCAAAGACAAAAGAAATCCAGGAATGGAGAAGAGCTGTGGTATTCTCCGCCTGGTTTGCAGTTCCCGTGTTCTTGACAAGCATGTTCATCCCCATGTTCCTGCCATTCATCAACTACGGTGGTATACGCCTCATTCCCGGTTTATATCTTGGCGACGTGATATGTCTGGTCCTCACGATCCCAGTTCAGTTCGGCATCGGAAAGCGCTTCTATGTGTCTGCATACAAATCGCTAAGCCATGGTTCTCCCACGATGGACGTTCTTGTCGTGCTTGGTACCTCGTCCGCCTTCTTTTTCAGTATCTTTTCGATGCTGGTATCGCTCTTGATTTCCCCACATACCAAGCCGACAACACTCTTTGACACCAGTACTATGCTGATCACGTTTATCAGCTTGGGCCGTTACCTCGAGAACAAGGCGAAGGGTCAAACTTCCAAGGCGCTTTCTAACCTCATGTCCCTGGCCCCATCCATGACCACTATCTACGCGGATCCTATCGCTGCTGCGAAAGCTGCTGAGGACTGGGACGTCAAGGAAGAAAAGATGGAGCGCAAGTCAACTGATGGCAATGCTGTTGAAGAGAGGGTCATTGCTACCGAGCTCATCGAAGTTGGTGACGTGGTCATACTTCGCCCAGGAGACAAGCTTCCCGCTGATGGCACAGTAACACGTGGAGAATCGTACCTTGATGAGAGCATGGTTACAGGTGAAGCTATGCCCATCCTCAAGAAGAAGGGCGCATTAGTTATGGCCGGTACTGTGAACGGAAACGGACGTCTGGAATTTCTTGTTACTCGAGCCGGCCGTGATACTCAGCTCAGTCAGATTGTGCGCCTTGTCCAGGAAGCGCAGACAAGCCGCGCCCCGATCCAACGCCTTGCAGACACCGTTGCTGGTTACTTCGTCCCTATCATTATCACTCTCGGTCTCGCAACTTTCGTTGGATGGATGGTACTCAGCCACGTCCTACCCTACCCGCCTAAAGTCTTCCTCGATCACGCTAGTGGCGGAAAGTTTATGGTTTGCATCAAACTCTGCATCGCTGTCATCGTCTTCGCCTGTCCATGTGCCCTGGGTCTTGCGACACCTACCGCTGTCATGGTTGGTACTGGTGTTGGAGCTGAGCAAGGTATCCTCGTTAAGGGTGGTGCTGCTCTCGAGACTGCCACCAAAATCAACCATGTCATCTTTGACAAGACCGGCACGCT